TTGGAATCAACTTGAAGGAACTTCAACAACAACAACAACAACAACAACAAACTGCTTTAACTGTACCCTATGAGATCCTGGGATCTGTAGTTTTTTGGTGTGTTTAGATTTCTCCATTAGGGAGCTCTAGTGTCTCATTTCAGGATCCCATAGGATGCGGTTATGATAGTTAAAGTGGTACTTAAAGTGCTGTGATTATGCAAAATATTAAAGTTTTATCTTTTAAAAATGTATTTTATTGTTTTAATAGCTATCTGTTTTATTGTTGTCATAACGTAATAATTTGATTCCTTTCTAATGCACTGCTTTTCTATGTTTTTAATTGTATTGTTCTTTTAATATTGTCGAGCCAGTCTGAGTCCCAGTTCTGGGGGAAAGAGTGGGATACAAAATAATAATAATAATAATAATAATAATAATAATAATAATAATAATAATAATAATAATAATAATATGTTGTATTGTTCTTTTAATATTGTTGAGCCACTCTGAGTCCCATTTCTGGGGGAAAGAGTGGGATAATAATAATAATAATAATAAAAAGTATTGTTCTTTTAATATTGTTGAGCCACTCTGAGTCCCAGTTCGGGGAGGAAAGAGTGGGATACAAAATAAAATAATAATAATAATAATAATAATAATAATAATAATAATAATAATAATAATAATAATATGATTTGGAAACTCGGTTGGCTTTGCTGTAACAGAGCTGTGCAGCTGTTCTTCTGCAAATTGTCTTCCCATGATAAAGGTGGAAAGGTGATCTGAGTACCATATAAAGTGATGCAGTGGTTTCCTTTAGCAGATTTGTGTAAAATGTCTTATTTTTGGCTTGTCAGACTAAACCGAGGGCTAGTTCAAAGACTCTGCGACGCTGGCCACACAAGAAGTCAGAGCCTTGGATGGGTTATTGCCCTTTACTTCCATTTGCGGCATAAAGTCCTTGGCCAGTTTATACCCAGTTTATAGAGTAAGTATTTGGAAGTCATTGTTGTTATAGCCGAAAAGAGCGCGAAAGTTTCCAGGCAGTTTTCCAGTGACCCTTTTTTGTCTTTGTGGACTTGCTTCAGCCTCGAAATAGAAGAGCACCAATATTCAAAACCACTCGAAAGTATTTCTAAATCCTATTTTTTTTTTCCTGTCTTTGATGGATCCAGCAGATGGGATTTATGGAAAAAAAGCAGTCCCCAGGTTGGAAAATTGTGCCTCTTGAAACTTGTTGGGTTGTTAATAAGTATTGGGAATGAGGCACCAATGCCTGCAGCAAGTAACTGATGTCCAGTATAATAGTTTTGGGGGGGATTATAATAATGGCAATAGCATGACTAAATAGCAATTGTGAATACAAAACAGTTCTGGGTGAGTAAACTGAATAAATGGGTAAATCTAGGTAATTATTCTGTATTCACGGCCATACTGAGTCACGAGTGTGACATGACAGGAGAGGTTACTAGGGCTGCATCTACACTGCAGAATTAATGCAGTTTGACTCTGCTTTAACTGCCATGGTTCAGTGCTGTGGAATTCTAGGATTTGTAGCTTTGTGGGATATTTTAGTTGTGACAGCTCTGGAGCCACGACAAACTACAGATCCCAGGATTCCATAGGATGGATCCATGACAGATAAAGCGGGGTCAAACTGCATCAATTCTGCAGTGTGGCAGCAGCCTTTGGTTAAGTGAACTGAAACTGATACGGGATTCTGGCCTGAATGTGGCACTTTACATATATAAAACAAGACACACAGCTATCCTTCATATATCCATCAGATAACCGGCCACCGGGAAAAAAAATTATGCCTGACCCTGTTTCCCATTACAGTTATTTTAATTTACTTGTTATTTATTATATCTTGTTATTTTTAAGTATGTTTTAAATTTCAATCATTTAATTGTATTTTAAAGGGGGTGGGCTATTGGGGGACAGGACTGTTTGTTTTATCTTGTAAGTCGCCCTGGTTGTTTTTACAGAGAGGCAGGATATATATATATATATATTATTATTATTATTATTATTATTATTATTATTATTATTATGGGCCTGCTTTATTACAGTATGGCCTGAGTCAGAAATTACTTGAAGGCACACAACAATAACTATAATACATATATATGTGTGTGTGTGTGTGTGTGTGTGTGTGTAAATATATATATATATATATATATATATATGGGTCCATTTCTATTTTGGGGGAAAAAAGATGGCGTATTTATTAATGTTAAACAGTGTGGAGAGGGGAAAAGTCCTATAACCTGTGGAAAAGGTGAATCACTGCTCCTGGAGATTTCCAAGAGTGAAGCCTGAGGCCAAAATCTTGTATCAGCTACTTATTTATAAAACATATCCCAGTGTAGTCATGTTGGCCATTTGGCAAAGTACTGCATCCTCCATTAACCAAATGCATCTGAGGAAGTAGACTTTAGTTTAAGAAAGCTCCTGCTGCCAACTTCTTTCTTTCAGTGAGTCTCAAAGGTGCTGCAAGATCTCTCTACATACTAATTCTACAGACTAATACCAAATAAATAATATTTATAATTATTTAAAAATCAATAGACAATTTCTTTATGAGGGGGAATAGAGGACCTCTCTGACTAGTGGATGCATCTTATAATGGGATAATCCACTTAGAAAGGTGTATATATAGAAAGGCATATATACATCTGTCTCTGGTTTCTACTCCACCAAATGCATCTGAGGAAGTAGATTTAAATCTAGAAAGCTCCTGCCGCCAACTTCTTTCCTTGAGTGAATCTCAAAGGTGCTACAAAATCTCTCTACATACTGATTCTACAGACTAACATGATTATATCTTTGAATCCTCCATTAAGTATGCTTAACTAAGTAGCTGATACAGGATTCCAGCCCTAATTACTGAAGGCAAATGTCCAGAAAGCTAATCTTCTGACATGTTCTAATTTTATTCTTTAAACTCAAAAGATGTGGGTTACTGTAGCATCCAAACACAACATTTGTAATAAACACAAATAAATAAAATGGGTACAGCCTGTTTCAGGAAATCCGGATGAACGTCAAAGTCAACCACAGCTACTAGTGATCCGAGAGAGGCTGGTTAATATAATACATGACAAGAAACAAGATATCATGTTTATCTTCATCTTGTAAGTTAAGTGTGTTTGCTTTGATATATTCCTTCCTCCGCTATTTTCCAACCACAACAAATCTGACAACTCATAATTGCAATAGAGTCCACCTGGTTGCATAAAAGATTACTTCCGTTTAGATGAATCATGTAAATGAAACAAAATTGGTTAATACTGTCACAACGATTTGATATCTAGATTAAGCGTAAGTCATACATATATAGAAATATATATATATATATATATATATATATATATATATATATATATATATATATGAATGGATGACAATATAGTGTCATGCTGCCTTAATTTCACAATTTGTAACTGTTGTTTCCCCAAGGTTTTACAATAATGGTCCAAAATTCGTACACTGCAAAAATAATCCAGTTTGAGACCAATTTAACTGCCCTGGCTCAATGTTAGGAAATTCTGGGAATTGTAGTTTTGTTAGACATTTAAACATTTAATGGGTTGGGATGTATATATACAGGCCCGTGTGTGTGTGTGTGTGTGTGTGTGTGTGTGTACACACACAATAGCATGTGATATCAGAAAAAATGGCATTAATAATAAGTACTAATATTTACACTGTACAAAGGTTGATATATTTGTTAACTGTGTTCTCAGTTATAGTAGATCTTTGTGGAGGGTTTTAAGATTATGTTTTAGATTATCTTTTTTTAAAATTACATTCTATATTTTTAAGATTTTGTTTTAGATTATAGTATTTCATTCATAATGCAATAGCCTAATCAGTATGTAAAGAGATTTTATTTAGAGACTAACATGGCTATTTCTTTGAATCCTACCATAATAGCCTAATAATAATAACTGCCTAACTTTAAACACACTGGGATGTTTAACATTTGGGGTATTTTCTGCCTTTACTAGTGTTTTCTCAGCATTATCTGATCAGCATTACTGCATTTCTGGCTGCAGGTCTGCAGTAATACTTTCAGAAAAAAGGAGGGAGTAAGCCTGCTTACAAATGCACATTAGTCAGTTTCTAGCAAGGAATTTCATCATGACACAGTACAGTTTCCAGGACTTAATTCTGTTTTTTCCCCATTCAAGCAAAATATCTGAGAGCCTCATAATCTAATCTTGGTAATGTTTTCAGAAGACATTGTTCCATGAAGCCAATGGATGACATCAAGACCTTTTATCTACATGCCGCATGTTATCTAAGATGGCATTTCCATGGAAGATAGAAATACAGATGAAAGCATCATTGGCGCTCCTTCTGAGACACGCCAAGTCCCTCCCTCAACTACAAATCCCCGGGGTTTTGTAGGACAGAGTCATGATATTTAAAGTGGTATAAAAACTGATAGAACTGTGCAGTGTAGATTCAGTTATTTGTTTCTCTAGGGCGCATCTACACTGTAGAAATAATACAGTTTGATACCACTTTATCTGTCATTGTTTCATCCTACAGAATCCACCCATACTCTTTGGCAGAGAAGGCTAAAGACCTTGTGAAACCACAAATCCCAGGATTTCTACAGCACTTGAAACTGGTGTCAACCTGCATTGTTTCTACAGTGTAGATGCATAAAGCATCCATTTTGAAAGCAAAGCATGAAGCAAAAGTCCAGGGCCAAGCTAGGCAATAGGAGACATCTGCCTCGGGCAGCACATTTAGAGTGTCACAATGAAAACAAAGCAAACTGTGAGTGTTTTAATCTGGTATTATTGTATTTTTACCACTTAGAAATAGGAGAAAGCCTTGAGTGGTTTTGTCTTGCATGTGAAAAACCAGTGTTTTTGTGGTTTGTTGTCTGGTGAACCTATCTTGGGGTTTTCTTGGCAAGATTTGTTCAGAGCAAGTTTGCCATGGCCTTCCCTTGAGGCTGAGAGAGTGTGGCTTGCCCAGGGTCATCCAGTGGGTTTCATGGCCAGGCGGGGAATTGAACCCTACACTCCAGAGTCATAGTCCAACACTCAAACCACTGTGCCATGCTGGTTCTCTGACATGATGGCATACATCAATTGCCCATGATCACTCAGTAGGTTTCCACTGCTGAACCGGGATTAGAATCAGGGTCCTCCAGAGTCCAGCATTCAAACCAATACACCAAGTTAGTCCAAATATTGTGAACTTAGGATCTTCTTGGCAGGATTTCTTCAGAGGAGGTTTGCCATTGCCTCCCTCTGAGGCTGAGAGAGTGTGATTTGGACAAGGTCCCCCACTGGATTTGAACCCTGATCTTCTGAAATCCTAGTCCAACACTCAACACTCAACTCACTACACTATCCTGGCTTCGGTATTTACAAGTATTTATAACTCTTGTGTGATGGAAGGTGAGCTGGATCTTGACAAGCTTTTGTCTTCAGCTTTTTCTGGTATATTTTTGGAGGGGGGTCAGGATGCTGCAACAGGGGCTACAGCTGAGCTCTTCATTGTCGTTGGCTCACACTTCATTTTGTCCCTGCAGAAGAGATGGTTCCCACAATAAAGCAATTGCCTAATTGTTCAGCACAGGCTGTTTTACAACACCGGAGAGAATGAACAAAAATCACTGCTGGAAACAAGGTGGGAACCTTCCTGCGCTTGTGAAAGCAAAGACTGCTCTGTAGCGATAAGACCGTAGACACTTGTGCTTTCCCATTTACTGCTGCTTGTTCAAGCCATCAAAGAGAAAAAAACCCTCCCACAATTAACACCAGCCAATTCCACACAAAATAGGTCCATGAGAACCAAACAACATGCGGTGCAAGAGTTGCGTGGTCACGGTCTCCTGACATTTTTTTCTTATCTGAAAGCAGGCACGTGGGACTCCAATTACGATTGGAAAAAGGGCAACTAAGGAAGACAGCTTAACATCTTGGTCTATTTTCCCAAAGTTGGCCTCTAAGCTGTTATTAGATACTCAGTGGAAATATTTTATTTTATTTATATCCTGCCTTTCTCCCGATAAGGATCTCAAGGCAACATACAATATGTTAAAACAGAATACATTGGGCCCTTTGGATCTGCTGGGTTTGGTTCCAGGACCCCTCATGGATACTAGAATCGGTGGATACTCAAGTCCCGTTAGATACAAGTTCAACCTTTCTTCTTAGTTTGTATTTATGTTTATTTATTTGTTGTTGTTGTTTGTTTTGTTTTTATTTGTCGTAATGTTGGTGTTATTTTTACTCAATAAAGTTTAATAAAAATTTTTAAAAAATTAGATACAAGTTCAACCATTCATGGCTTGAACATATTCACACACAATAAATTCCAAAAAGCAAACCTTGATTTTGCCATAAGGGACACCAGTTTATTAACTCATAATTTGAGCATTCACGGATCCTGGAACCAAATCCCATCAGATATCAAGGGCTCACTGTATACAGTTTGGTCTGTAGACCAAATATCCACCAGCAATATAGAGATTCTTAGCCAAGTCGTGTGTTATAGTCTTTAAATATTCTAGTTTTATGATGAGCTCAGACAAAGCATTGTGATTTCACCTAGAAGATAATAAAATTGTGTTCAGGCAGGTGATGTTCCTACAGCAGAACATTTGGAGACAGGAGCCAAGAGTTGTCATGTGTTGTCAAAGTATCACAAAGTCAGTGCAATCATTTGAACTGGATTAGGAAGGAAGGAACTAGGGATGTTGGCGGAGTTTCCTGAGGCCACAGCTGTTGGTGTAACCTTTGTGCCATCTCAGTGAATGTGACTCTGTACATCCTAAAATACTGATGCAATTGTATCGGTCATCTTTCTTATCGGCAGACTTCTTGTCCCACCCTGTTTGCACCCCAGTTAAGTTACTACTCACCCATAACCAAAGAGACACTGGATTTCATGACGCATGGCGTTACTAACAACAGAAATGCACCACCTTTCTCATTCAGCATCTTGCATTCCTTCCTTCTTAGGGAGGTATCGAAAATATGTTGGGTATGGTGGAAATTAATGAGGAGGACACCTTTCCCCTTCTTGTTCATGCTTCTGCTGGGTCTCAGAGGCATTTCAGCATCACCCTTGGAGAGATCCTGCCAGCTGGAGCCAAAGGTCATCCCTTTCCTTTTCAGGTTGTCATCAACTCAGCTCTTTAGAGAAATTCCTGGGATTCCTGGGGGAGAGAGGTGGAAGTCAAGCAGTGTTCGTTGACCTGCCTGGACATGCCTATTGAATGACGTAACAGAGGCATCTGTGCTTTTGTAACCCCTTTCCAAGGATATAGACACTTTGAACAGAGAACAAAGCCAAAGGGATACCAGCCCATCCACTTGGGAAAAGGGTTACAGTGGGGCTTCTTCCCCAGTATGACCCTGAAGGACCACATTATTTCAGGAGTAACCAGATGGAGGGCTGTATGCATGCTATATGAATGGGCCCTTGATTTCTGTTGGTAAAACTACTCAGTTAGGAGAAAAAGGTCCCATTCACACAAATAAATCTGAAGCTGGGACATGGCTACCTCTTTAAAAACTGGAGTGGGGTGGTGGTAATAAATTATCTGTGTTACTATTGTGGTGTAGCTTAATTATACTATAAGCAAGATTGATAGCTCTAAAACCAAAACATTTTGTAATTCTTTCAAAGAGACCCGGTTCCCTTTCCTGGCCTATGTTAGCAACAACAACAAATGTCCAAACCCATCAGCTCATCCCTTGGATTTATGGAAGGATGTGATACAAGAGGTTTCATAGAGGAATCATACTCTGAAACAGTAACGGAAGACCTCTCATTTCTCCTTCTAACTTTTATTTTGGCCTTTGTAGAAACACAGCTTCTACAGTTTTGTTTTGTTGCACTGTTGTTTGTTGGTAAAATTGCCAAGTATAATGCATGTATATTGTCTTGATTGATCTTCTACAATAAAATTATTTTATATATATTTAAAATATATATACTTTCACTATTGGGTGGGGTTAATTAATTTGGATCTAATTGCTTCTAAGCTCTGCATGAAGGAGGAACTAAGCAGGTGGAGTATCATCACTCTTGAGTCTCCACCAGTTCATTCACTGGCACCAGTTCATAGCACCAGTTGAGTCACTAGCAGGAGGGGGCTTGTTGTGATAACAAAGGAAGCAATAAAAATGTGTGGGTCATTCCCTTATTCCAGCCCCCACCTTCCAAGCAATGCTTTGACACAGTTGTTATTCAACATCACAGTGTCCAGGAACTTATTAAGTAACTTCTATCAAGGAGCAAGTACCCGCAGAGTACGATTATTACTTTCAGTTCACTGCAACCCTGTTTTGTCCTCTGAGTTTCCTTTGCATCTGTTTGGTTTGTTTGTTTGTTTTAAATACAGCAACTACATAAAATAGAATACTAGCACTGGGGAAACAAATTGAAGTTGACAATAAAGCAAACAGTGGGGAACTTTGAGCAGGAAATAGCTGAAAGCATTATTGTTATTATTTTTAAAAAATAACATTTCTTTCAATTCATTAGGAGAAGGAAGCCAGACAATAAAATGGTACAAACTATAAAAGATAAAGTTGCAGAGGCAGTTCTGGTTGGCGTTGGAATGGCCTGAGGAAAAGGGAGGGAGTAGTTTCTACATTTGCAGTTTTGAGAGTGAGCAATGCTAAAATTAATTCTTGGCACTGGCTTTTACTGTAGATGTTGGGAGAGATTTCCACACCAGAATCTTTGGGGGTAAGAGGACATCTGAGGGATTATAACAACAGATCCTGTCTGATTCTGGAAGTTAAGCAAGGTCAGGCCTGGTTAATACTTGGATGGGGCACCACTATAATACCAGGTGTTATAGACTATATTTTCAGAAGAAAGCAATGGCAAACCACCTCTGAGTATTCCTTGTTTAAACCTATGAATTCATGGGTTTGCCATATTTCTACAGGAGACTCAAAGGCACACATGGAGGTAGCAAATCATGATATCTTTGAGAGCTGGTTGGGAAATTATGAATTAACAAGTAACTAGGTCCATTTTTAGAAAATGTCTTATGTCCTTTAATAAAGAGCTGAGCAAACTTCAGATAATCCTGGGGCCACGTGTCAGGTTGGGTGAGCCAAATACTATCAAAGAGGATATGGAAAAGAGAGGAGGGGGGAAGGGGGAGAAATCAAAACATTAGGAATCCTGCGCCACCAAAAAAAAAAAAAAATAGAATTTAAATTTCATTAAAATGAAATTGATTACATTTTATACAGAAATATGCAATGTGGTGAATCATGTACCTCTGTATTAGAGAACTGGAAGGCAAAGCAGCTGCCAACTTTTACAAAGGATGCAGGGGAAATGTGGGAAATTACAGACCTGTTGGGCCAACGTAAAATCATGGAGTTGAAAAGGATCCCAAGGGGCATCCAGTATATTTCATATTTCACTGTCAAACAGCTCTCACTGTCAAGAAGTTCTTCCTAATGTTTAGGTGGAATCTCTTTTCCTGTAGCTTGCATCCATTTCTCCAGGTCCCATTCTCTGGAACAGCAGAAAACAAGCTTGCTCCATCCTCAATATGACACCCCTTCAAATACTTAAACAGGGCTATCATATCACCTCTTGACCTTCTCTTCTCCAAGCTAAACATACCCAGCTCCCTAGATTGCTCCCCATAAGGCATGGTTTCCAGAACTTTCACCATTTTGGTCACCCTCCTCTAGAAACACTCCAGCTTCTCAGCATCCTTCTTGAATTGAGGTGCCCAGAATTGGACACAGTATTCCAGGTGAGGCCTGACCAAAGCAGAATAGAGTGGCACTATAACTTCCCTCAGTCAAGATACTAATGTCTATTGATGCAGCCTACAATTGCATTGGCTTTTTAAGCTGCTGCATCACACTGTTGACTTATGTTCAACTTGTGGTCTACTGGGAATCCTAGATTCCTTTCACATGAACTGTTGTATAGCCAGGGGTCTCCTATCCTATGTCTATGCATTTCATTATTTCTGCCTAAATGTGGTACCTTACTTTTTTCCCTTTTGAAATTCATTTTGTTAATTTTGGTATGTCTCAAACAATGGCAGCTGATGGCTTCAGTTCAGTGGAACAATGAATCTAGTCTTGGCTTTAGCATAGACTTGTAAGAAACTTTCCAAAGTGTTGAAACCTCTGCCCAAAACAAGTTCAGGACCTTGGATAGTTCAGGGAAGGAGATGGAGGAGATATTTTGTTGTCATTATTGGGAGTGAGTCAACTGAAAATTGCTGCAAGATCTGTCAATACATCCAGCTTTACCATCTACCCACCTCTATTTCAGTTTCAAAGCCATATTGCAGATGACTTTGAAAAGAGTTAGCCAAATTCATGGAGCAGGAGAGTCAGGATTGGAGGCATGGGACTTTCTTGGTGGTGGTATCCCAATTTTCAAGCTCCCTTCTCTCAGAGGTGTCCCAGGTGCTGAGGCTGAAATATTTTTCAATGATGGTGTACTTTTGCAAAAGGTCCAGTCCATGATGGTGAAAGTCCAGGAGGGTGACAGGAACAGGGAATATATATTCTGTATTAAAAAATAATAACTAACAAGTAAACAAGTAAACAAAACAAAAACATTTCTACATCTAAAACAGCGTTAAAAGCCCATGGATCGTTTATAACCTTACATACCTTAGTTACATCTTCACCCTATCAATAACTTAAATAGTTATATTGACAAATATAGAGCACAATCAGCTTCAACAATATCATAATTGCTTGAAGAAACAAACATCCTCTACTAGGCAAAATACATATTAATAAACATATCTATTCCCTCCATAATCTCATCTCTCCTTTTCCTTCTTATACCATCCTTCCTTAATTCTCTCTTACAATACTCCCCCCCCCCCGCCTTCTGCTAAATCTTTAGGAACAGGGAGCTTTCTTGATACCCATTTATTTGTTGTTTTGGTTAAGATGGAGTTGTGTAAGAAAGAACTGGTGCAAAAGGTGGTACTTGGCGGAAAATTGCCCTTGGCTACACGTGCCACCAAAAAAGATTTTGGACTCATTTTGGGTACCAGTTGCCCCCCACCTTGCCCTCCCAGCCCCTTGATTTAAATCTTTGCTATCCTTTTCTGCTTTTATTAGGTTTTATTAGGGTTTACAAGAGAGCATCACAAATCCCTTTAGGAATAATTGATGTGTGGTTGTAGTTAACTATTGTCAAGTTGACTTTAGGGCAAACCAATGAATGAGAGACTTCCAAGTCACTTTGTTATCAAAAGCCTTACTCAGGTCTTGCAAATTCAGGGCAGCCACGGCTTCCTTGATTTAATTGATCCATCTGGAATGAGGTATTCTTCTTTTCCTACTGCCTTCTGCTTGATCAAGCATTAATGTCTTTTCTAGGAAGTCATTTCATCTCATGATCTGTCAAAAGTATGACAATCTCAGCTTAGTCATCTTGGCTTCTAGGGAGAGTTTAGGCTTGATTTGCTCTAGGACCCATCTGTTTGTTTTTCCTAAACTAAAACACAGCAAAATAAATTCTTAAAAGACATTTATGGAAAGAAATTCTGAAGAAAATATGGAACGCACACGACCTACTTATTATGTCTCCCATGAATCAGAGACTGGATTTCCAGCAAAGTTTAATAGTCCATGAATCACATGCCATGTCTGTGGCAAATATTGCCAAATATGATTTAATTAAATTGATTAATTATTACTATTGCAAGATCTGTGCCCCAGGATCTAGAAAACAGACAACAGGTCTACAGAATGGAATGGCACATAAAGCTATGTGACAGTAGATTTATTAGTCTTTGGGAATGGCAAAACTCACTGATGGTTGCTTTCAGTTTCAGTAGCCTCCTTGAATCTAATTCCTGGGAAAAAGTGATTTATTGGTTTTGTAGGCAATTCCAATACATCATCCAGACTCTTTGTCTGCCTAGCACATTATCAGGCATGAAAAAGGAAAATTTTACCAAAGTGTGAAGGAGTGGGTGAGGCTGCAGAAATCTGTGATCCCCTCTAGACAGCTGTTTGGTTTTATTTTATTTTTTCAAGGGAGTGTGGGTCAGTTTAAGAGTCAGTTCAGAGCAGTTCTGTTCTGAGAGTTGTCATAAAGCATAACATAGACATAACTAACCAAACCTAGACATACATGTAGACTAGACTAAAGCATAACTACCTATTAAATTACATAGAACAGATATGCACATCCCTCTCTTCTACTCCGAGATCTTTTTCTTAGATATCTTATATCCCTTTTACTTTTTGCTTATTGCCTTTTTGTTTTATTTTTTTGACATTACCGTATAATCTTTGTCTACTGTAATCTGTATTTTCTCAAATAAATCTATTTACCTACAGACTGTGATTTTACACCATTTGTAACTATAATTCTGTAAGACTTTTTTCCTTTCTAATTGACTTCTGTAACAAACACCCTTTATAGCTCTGTTTAACAAAATAGCCTTGTCTGGTTTTACACTGGAAAATCCAGAGCACAGGATAACCGTGTGAGGGCATCTGTTTTCCGTAGGATGCGTTATGGATTTGTGCAGTGAAGTTGGAAATGTTGACACATCCAGCTGTTTAATCCATTACAGCAAAAACACCCAAAAGGGTGATCCGATGCTTTGAAGACAGAGTGGCCAACATGGAGCCCAAAGGTGGCCTCAGGTCCATTTTTGCATCCTCTACCTGGCCAATGGTGGATCGTGAGCACCTGTAGTTCTTCGGTCTTGTTTTCAGTTCTCTGAAGAGGAGGGAAGAACAGAAAAAGAAAGAGGATGAGAAGAAATAATGTTTTTTGTCTCAAGCCAAATGATTTTCCCCCCTCTCATGTGATCTTTTTTTTTTAAAAAAAAAAGATTTATTATCAAATGATTGTTCCATGACACTGATGGAGGCTACCCTTGTTCATCCCACAATGCCTCATTTTAATTTGTTTAATTTAGTTCATTTTATTCATTAGATGTATTTTATGATGCGGTGTTAGTTTTAATTGGGAGTAAGGGGATCATGCTGTTTTATCATGTTGTTTTATAGCTGTATTGTATTTGTATGATTGTTGCCCGCTTCGATCCTTCATGGAGAGGCGGGCGACAAATATTTATTTATTTATTTATTTAGTATACACATAAAAAAACAAAACAAAATTGAACACAAAACCAAAAGAAATAAACACATTGCCTATCCTAACAACATTTTCTATTACCTACTAAACACATACACACACAACAACAAACATTCAAACATAAACAATACACATTCAAATGTTACTTCCTCTCTTATGTTCTGTGATCTCTAAATCCAAGATTTGTGTCCCTTTTAATTTTCCCATTTTCTCTTTTTTCTTATGTACCTCTAATCTTATTAATAATTTCCGCTTCAACTTCAGTGCAGACGGTGCATCCTGAAATTATGGTACTTATCTATACTATAGCATTGCAAAGCACCGGTAAAAATATTCATACGACTGTTTGTCTAAATTTTGGAAGAACATATCTATCTATTAATCTGATTTTTTTTTTTTATGGTGAGTTTAAATACTTTCTCATCCTGCCCCGGTTTTTCAAAAATGTTCTATAGGGGCATCCATAAGTAATAAAGTCAATGTATCAAACACACATCTTTGTTTTCCAAAGTATTTTAAAACAAATTCTAAACATCTAAGCATTTATAAAATGGAGAGAGAAGATGCTGCCCTCTCATGGCTAGATCATGCCATAGTTCTCATGCGCTTCAATGGGAAGCCAACACTGTTTCCAATTAAGAAGACATTTTAGATTAGAAATTTGGCACATTTGTCCTCATGGCAAAGGTCTTTACAGGCCAGACTCTGCCTGGAAGTGACCGCATGAGTTGGTCTCCTCAGTGTTTTCTGCTTTTCAATGTGCTTTTCAGTACTATCTTCATTGCCATTGAGTAGTTTCTGACTCATGGCGACCCTATCATGGGGTTTCCTTGGCAAGATTTGTTCAGAGAAAGTTTGCCTTTGCCTTTGCCTTGAGGCTGAGAGAGTGTGACTTGGCCCAAGGTCACCCAGTGGGTTTCACGGCTGAAACTTTGGCCTAGTGAGGTGTGTTTGGTCATGGTGCAAAGGAAAGCCTTCTCTGTTGCATATCCTGCGACGGTCCTGATTCGACACGGAGAGTCTTGATTAATCATCCCACTTTTTAAGTTCCTTTTAAAATGTCCTCCTTTTCTTCTTAGTCTTCTTCACATTACTCGCTGCAAGCCGAGTTCAAAGTGCAAAAGCAGTTCACTTTCAGCTAACTGACAAGAGACGGGCGGACATTTGCCTTTCCAAGTAACCTTAGGCAAAAGCAAACTGCTGCAGCCTTGTTAATAAGAACTTTTGCCATCTTGGTCCGATGTTTCTTGGCCATGAGTCCTGGTTTTCATCTGTGAAATGTTGGAGAGTAGAGCAAGCATGGCGTAGTGGTTTGAGCATTGGACTGCAACTCTAGAGACCAGGGTTCGAATCCTGGCTCAGCCATGAAACCCACTGGGTGACCTTGGGCATGTCACACTCTCTCAGCCTCAGGGGAAGAAGGCAATGGCAAACTTTCTCTGAACAAAGCTTGATAGCCAGTGTGTGGTGTAGTGATTTGACTGTTGGGCTGCGACTCTGGAGACCAGGCTTCGAATCTCTGCTTAGGAATTGAAACCCACTGAGTGAGCTTGGGCAAGTCACACTCTCTCAGCCTCAGGGGAAGGCAATGGCAAACATCTTCTGAACAAATCCTGCCAAGAAAACCCCAGGACAGGGTCGCCATAAGTCAGAAACAAATTGAAGGCACACAACACAACAATAATAAAGCATAAATAAGCAAACACCTCAAAAGGTGTGTGTGTGGGGGGGAATATCTCGACCTGTGAAAACTTATATGACACCTGGATGTGTATGTGTGTGTGTGTGTATATATATATATATATATATATATATATATATAGTTTTATGCGAAAATAAAAGTCCCAGGACCAAGAACCAGTCCAGAAACCATGTTTTCACTGTTTATTCTTTTTAATTTCGACTTTTGTGTGAAGCTTCTCCTTTAAGGCCCGGCCTACTCGGCTTCTATTGCCCTCCCTCAGGCCCTCCTTCACTTTCTCGGCACACGGAAGTAGCCAGGCCTATAATACTGAGGAAAAAGAAGCGACCATTAAGTACGGCTACTGCTAAAAGTAATAATAGTTGGCGTTATCCTGACAAGAAGCGCGGCGGCGGCGGCGGCGGACGCGGCCTTGTCCCCTCAGCGAAGCCTGGGCCTTGCGTGGCCTAGTCAACCATGGCGCCTCAGCCTCCCCCGGCGCCTCTTCAGCCCCTGGCCAGCTGCGGTCCCTGGGAGATGAAGGAGCGCCTCGGGACCGGGGGCTTCGGCAATGTCATCCGCTGGCAGAACCGGGTGAGCGGAGGAGGCAGGCCCGGCAGCCGAAATACGAGGCCTGGCTGTGCCTGAAATTACCTCAGAATTTACCTCAGGAGAAGGGAGCAGAATGGCGGGAAACGAGCCTGAGGGGAAATTGTCCGCACTCTGAGGAGGCCTATATCTTTGTGTGTGTGTGTGTGTGTGTGTGTGTGTGTGTGTGTATATATATATATATATATATAAAAACCCCTGAGTTAGCTGAAGTATATATATGTATATATATATGGTTAGGAGAAAAGGACCCCCGTGAATGTGGAAAAACCGCAAATAAAAAATAACACTATTCTTTCTTACATGAGAAAACACCTCTCTAGGAATCTCCAGGTCCGAGAACAGTGAGACTCTATGGTCAACATCTGCCAGACGTTGATTTTATATATATATACATACACACACATAATTAGATAGATAGATAGATAGATAGATAGATAGATAGATATAGATATATGTATGTGTGTGTATATATATATATGTGTGTGTGTGTGTGTGTGTATATATATATATATTATAAATATGTGTGTGTGTAATTATATAAATTATATTATATATTTATCCCAGTAATCAGAGCTGCAAAAGTCAAAGCCACAAATATGAAGGGTCACCTCTGTGTGTGTGTGTGTGTGTGTATTATAATAATATTTAAATATTTACACCCCACCTTTTGCTGTAGCAATCATCTAAAACCAAGTACATAAAACTACCCCATCAATAAACAGCAAGACAATATAAACACATTAACCCCCCATTAGATAGATAGTGTGTGTGTGTATATGAGTGATTAAAAGATTCATTATTCACTAATTAAAAGGTTCAGTGATCCTTCTCTTGAGGGGGAGCAGGCTGGAACTGGGATTTAATTCCATCCCACTCAGTGAAAGGCAGACTGCAACGTTGTCAAGGTTTATTCAGGGTTTCACCACCACTGCTATCCTCTGAGGCTGCGAGAGTGTGACTCACCCAATGGATGTTGTCAACTGTTGTGTGCCTTCAAGTCTGTTTTATGGCGACTGTGTTTTCTTGGCAGGATTTTTAAATCCTTTTACTTTTCAAACTTATTAACATAAGCCTTAGTAACATAGCCATTTCCTGGTTTTCCACTCAGGGCAGTGGATAAGACTAATGTGGCTTTTGTGTGATGCAATGTCAAGGTTCACAGCCCTGCTGTACCTGTTCAGCGAAAAATATGCATTTTGGCTGGTTTCTGTAGGACCTAAAAATGACAACTTTATAGGCCACCTTTCCTGAAAAGGAGGCTTGCAGAAAGAAATCAGTTAAACTCTTATCACCTCCTATTAGACCTCTATGAGGGCTTAAACAATACCTAATAAACGTTTGCAGTTTTGATATAATCAATGTTAGGACTATTAATAGTGTGAATGCAAAACAATTACAGAAAGAACTCTTGTAGGAAATTGGCCATTTTTATCCCTTTCTTCCCAACCAGATGAGTAAAATGGGAGTTTTTAAAACCATGGAATGACACCAAATATCACAAAAGTTTTATAACCAGATAAGGTACCCTTTAGGCAGTTTAAAATTCATTTTGTGGACTTATGTACCACTGACATTGGAAAATTCTGAAGAAAACCATTTAAGACAGCGCTTGAGTTATGTGATGTGTGAGAACATTTTTTCCCCTTAGTGTGCCAGAACCGATACTTTATTTGTGCCTTTTGGTTGGAATTTTGTGTCTTTCCTGGAAACCACCATGTTGTGTAGCATTCATTGCTTTGTCACACCTTCAGTATATTACTGTACTTGAGTGTGTTAGGCCTGGAATACCTCTTTAAACCTAAGTATTAGAACCTTGTAATATATATTAATGCTGTATTGTGCTTTCATGTTAACCATGTTTTATGGAATACACTTGGCAAGACTTAATTTAATGATTTACCATTACCTTTCCCCTGAGGGCAACTTTGCCCAGAATCACCCAGAGTCAAGCTTTTAGGGCTTAATAAGAGATTGAAACCCAGCCTTCACAAAAATACATTGTAACACACTTTGTAAAGCTAGAGAGAAGTACTACGTATCACCAATTGTGTAGTGATGGTAATGCATCAAAATTATTCCCTGCCTAGATAATGGCTCCTCATGTTTGATCCCATCCAAATCACAAGACTCTCAAGAAAGAAAGACACAGGAGACTGTTGACAAAAGCTTATCACACCACTCTTAAAATGGCACTAGGTCACTAACTGCTGACTGACTCCTGTTGTGTTGGAAGGTTTGTAGTTCAGTGAGGCTTCAAGGCTCTTGGGCTGAATATTCTAAATGCCTCTCTCTTCCTAAACTACAAGTTCCAGGATGCAACAGGAGGCACCCAGAGACAGACTGACCTTTCCTAAGTTTTCTTTCTGGTCAGCTCTTGGGATATGTTCCTAGATGAAGCCTTCATAGGGATGGAGGTCACCTGCTTTCATTCAGCAAGAAGTCTCCTTCCAGAGTCTGCTTCCAGAATCTTCCTTCAGTGATTTCAGCTTTTCTTCTGCCTCCATCCAGGAACTACCTTTTATTCTTTCCCAGCGATTCCAGCTTTCCTAGCTCCTGCACCCCAAGCTTTCCTTCTGGAGCTCTTCCCATCTTCTGCCTTCAGTGATTTCAGCTCTTCTTCAGCTCTTGACAGCTCAGCTCCAACTGACCTCTGGCAGGTTTTGGGAGTCCCTTTTATACACTCCCAGCCCAGATCCTTCGGCCAATAAAATACAAGTCCCCCCAAAAGCTGCCAACTCATTGGTCTGTGGCTATAAACCAATAAGAACCGGAGGAATATTGGCAAACGGCCAATGAAAAATTGCCCTCTTTGAATCCCCCTCGGTAATATAAATTCTGACAGAGTTTGACTCAAAGCAGTCCAATGTGGCAGATAAGGATTCCCACCATCCCCAACCGCAATGGCAGCTGGCCATGTTGGATGGGGATGATGGGAATTGTAGTCCAACACATTGAGGAGTGTGGAAGTTTCTTTGGTAACTGTTTCTTTGGTCAAGTGTGATGGCTTCACTGTCAAGAGTAGGCCTCATTTATTCAAAGTAACTTTTCCTCAGTCTGAGGGAAACTTCTTCACCTCCCTGAGGCGGTTTTTATCACTGTAGCTAGACCTAGTTTTTACAAGACACTTATTTATACATTTTATATCATATTTCAGGCAACTTTTACCTCAGGATTTTGAGGTTCTCCACAGCAATGTGACAGAAATAAACAAATCCAATGTTCAAGCCCACAAACGAAGTACTGTATATAAAGAATAAAATAAGGAATTGTACTGTTTTAATCTTGCTCTGAATCCCAGTTTTGGGATATAATAATAATAATAATAATAATAATAATAATAATAATGCAGAAATAAGCCAAAGAGGTGACAAAGGCAAGACAAGTGAAGAATAATAAATAAGGGAGGTAGAGTCAAGGAACCCTGACTTCCAATTTAAGTCAAATCAGGAAAATATGGGCCTTTATCCAACAATCTTAAATGTTGAGGTAAAGGGATTAACCTGGCCAGTTGAATTTCTGGTGTATGAGTGTCCTTAGAGTAGCAAATAAATTATAATTTATTTATAACCTGTTTAAATTGCCTATTTAACACGAAGACCTCTGGGCACTGTATAGTCTGTCAGAAATATTAACAGATCCATAAGCCTTGAGGTCTCCATCTTGGAAAAGGTTTGTTCAGAGGGTTTTTTGCCTTTGCCTTCCTCTGAGGCTGAGAGTGTGTGACTCAGCAGTGGGGTTTAAATGCCTGAGCCAGGATTCGAACCCTGGTCTCCAGTGTTTCAAACCATTACATCACAGGGGTTGCCATAAGTCGGAAATTACTTGAAGGCACACAACAACAACAACAACAACAACAACAAGGCAAACCTATGGAGGACTGGGGGGGGAAGGTTGGTAAAATGCGGTTTCCTTTATACTACAACTCCCAGAATCCCCCATTCATTGGCCCCGCTGGCTGAGGAAGCTTCCTGAGAGTTGTACTGAAGTGTACTTATTTATTGAAGTTGAATATTTAGATGAAGTTGCATTTTTTGCAAAATAAATAAAATAATGGTGGCAAGGGTTGTATGTA